AGCTGGATTCAAAACAAGAGAACCAGTGATTAAGAGCTTCCTATTACAGTACCAGTCCTCTGAACCAGCCAGGTCTCAACATGAATATCAATATTGTCCTGGGGTATGCTACATGTAGGTCTCTGATTAGGTTTGCTTCTTTACTATCTCTGAAGATTTCTGTTGCATTCAGAAGTGAAGTTAAAACTATGTATTGCACCAAAAACTTCTTTCAACCAGGAGTCCTCAAGCTTATTCTTAATCTAAAATTCCCATTTGCTTTTTGTATTTGAAGCTTGTGCTACCACTGTTTTTTAAATCAAATGCAGGATCATAATCGAACTGCACTTAAAAGATGTCACTGTGCCTCGCACAGCTGTGAAAATGCTGATCTATTATTTTCTTAGGGTGGGAAAGGAAGGATGCAGCCAGAGCCTATGCTTCAGTTTTTAAAATCCCAATTCCATTTTTTCTTGGCTCCTTCCTGTGATTAAAGGCTCAAGAGTTGGGTCTCTCTTCAGTTTGCCTCTTTTAGAAATGTATCAGCGTGGTCTTTCGAGGTCTGCCGATGGGATTTTCCTCAGTAGAAGTCCCAAAACTCCTTTCTTTAGCTATTCCTGTTCCCAAAGTTTCAATAGCAGGGAAATGAGGGACATGGCCCAAGGCTCTCCAACCTTAAAAGGACCCTGATATTCCTTTACTGTATATTGAATTCAGTAGTTTTAAAGATTATATATCAAGTCGAAAACCTCTAAATCTCATACTTCTCTGATAGGAGACTCTCATTCACCCCTAACTGACCATGGTTGGTCCATGTCAAGGGATGATTAAAACCAATGATCTGAAGGTTATGGATAGAGTACGATGCTGGTACTGTGTGATGCTGAACAATTTTGTTAAGGAAGATAATACAGACTTTGAACAGTTACCTAAAGCTTGTCCTCACTTTGAGGTCTTTAGCCTCTTTTCTTTTGCCTTCTTTTTGACTCAGATGGACTCTTTTCTTCTGATACCATTTTTCCCCTCCCTCACTTATTCATCCACGGTGATTCCTTCCCTGTGAATACAAAGGATTGATAGATGTATTGTTACATTTGGGACACAGGGTAATTATTCTTCCCTATTTTCTCTAATATCTGTGTGGATCTAAGCCTAGTAACGCAAACTACGCCTTATTTACATTTCTATTTGGGTTTAATGTTTATTAAAAATCAATGTTTTTAAAACTTTCTTCCTCAAAGACACCCTGTGATACTTTTATATAGTGGGAGGAAATCAATTCATTGCTAATATTCACGGACACTGAGAAAATCTTGCAAGAGTGCAGTATACGTTAGGTGCGTTTTTAAACAGGGAGTTTGTATGATGTCATTTGGTTGATTCATATTATTAAATTGTGCAATATATTTCAATGATCTTGGAATGTAGCATCTTTTAGACTAAAGATATTTCCAAATGCTTCACAAAAGCGAAACTAGAATTACATATAGAAATTAATTAAAAATAATTCAAAGCTATTTATCTTATAAAAGGTTCTCTGTAATAAAACAAACTTGACTTTTAAGATGACAAGATAATTCTAATGTACAGGGACATAATAATATGTACACATATGTATTCCCATACAAATTTATGAATACTCTTGTTTATTTTAGAAGTCTCTGCTAAATAGTAAAGGCCACATTTCCAAAGGGTGCTGTATGCAGCATTTTTCAGCGTATGTACATGCATGCACACTACACATATATAGGTTAGGCAAACAAATGTTAGAATTTACATAATCAAAAATCTTTGCACTTACCAGTGAATATAAATTCTTTCACAGTATGTTAAAAGGTCCATCTAGCCCAGTATCCTGTCTTCTGACAGTGACCAGTGGCAGGTGCCCCAGAGGGAATGAACAGAACAGATGGCACAGTCCAAGCACCAGGCAATACTGAACAGATACCTCATTACAGACAGAACCACATCACTAGAATCACATATCCATACTCTGCTCTTTATATCAACTAATAACTTTTCAGGTTATGATAACAGAGATGTAAAATAGCTTAGTAAATGTTTGAGAATGCAAAAAAATATTAAGTAGCTAGTCAGTTAAAAGGCCCATCTATAAGGGAAGTGACTAGACAGTGAAGATTCACTGAAATTTTGAGAAAACTTAAAGGTTCTTATAAAAGGATCTTTGAGTATCTGTCGTGTCAAGGGGTAAAAATTCTGGCTGTGGATCCTCAGGATCTGAACCTAGAAGTTAATTTGGAGGCAAATATAAAAATCTGTGAGATTGTAACAGCCCTACCTAACAAATGCTAGTTGTAATTTTGCTATAGACAGGCCAAATTTGGAAAAACCTCTTCTGAAAAACCTTTTTCTGATAAAGCCCCATAGTGTAGCTATAGCCTCTCTCTCCCCAGCCATGACAAAACACTGTCCTGCGTCACCCAAAGTTGGGGCTGAGGAGTAGCTATACACTTGGCTATTGTGTATTTGAGTATTTGTTGGGAGGCTTCTTATCTAAGCTTTTGCAGCCCGATTCCTTTAACCTTTGCTTCAGATCTAACTCTGCAGCAAGTGACCCATCACAAACAACTTCAGAGAGACATGCACCATATTCACAGAAAACAATACAGATATTTCCTAGTTCATTCCAAGCACATAGCCAAGAGCCATTTGCGAAGGTCTCATGGTACAATCCTAATCCTATAGAAGTCAATGGCAAGACTCCCATTGCCATTAATATTTTAGATATTTTTCTCTATCTCCTGTGTAACATCACAGAAAAACTGTGGCGCAGTTAAGGTGAGTTTTTTCTCATTCCCATCTTCTAGACATCATTGCATCAGGGACTGATCAGGCCCAGATTAATTAAACCATGAGTCATATTTGTCTATAAATCCAGATGTACACTTAAGTCCTGCTATTCAAATGTGCCTCATTGACTACAGTAGAGCTGAGGCACACCTTCTTTCACAAGGGCTGAATTTGGCTCATATCTGTTCCGAATAACTTGACAGTCTACAAGATCAAAATGTTCCCAGACACTTTCATAGCAAGAACCACATTTTTAGACAAAGATTGTTTGAAGGATGCCTCCCTTACTCTTCCTGATTTCACAGATTACCTAAACACCCCTGTGGCAATGACAGTAATTTTTTACACAGAAAAATCTTAGGAAAGCAACTGCAATGTAAACATTTGGAAATGATAAGTCAGCATCATAGCTGGGATTTGCATAGTATCAGTATCCAACTTCAATTGATTTTTCATGCAATTTAGTCTCAAAAGGATACAACAAGGCACTTAACCCATTCAGGCTTCTTAGAAAATCCTGACCAGCCTGACTTCAATGAGCACTAGTGATGGGGCCACCAGTACCAGTCTGAGACCGGGAACTTCTGCATTAGAAGATGGAGGTGTGCAAACGTTTATCATGGGCTTTGATGGAACAGTTCATTGTGAACCAAGAGACATGAAGTTCAATGAAACAAATAAAGGGGTATCTCAGTGTTGAGGTGTAGGAGAGATACTTTTAAAATATCTGTGTTTTAATTATACACATCAAAAATAAAGCAAATAAAAATTTAGCCTCAACATGCACTGTTCTATCTTGATCTGATCAAACTTCCCCCTCTTGTTGCTGGCAAAGATGCTGCTGATTTTACAATCAATCAGTGTTGCTACCCAGAAATCTTTACACCATGAGTGCGTGATAGTTAATATAAAATGGCCATAAAGCAGAGCAGACCAAAGGTCCATCTAGCCCAGTATCCTGTATTCTGACAGTGACCAGTGACAGGCACCCCAGAGGGAATGAATAGAACAGATAATTATCAAGTGATCCATCCCTTGTTGCCCATTCCCTGCTTCTGGAGAATAGAGACTAAGGTGGGGGTGGGCAGAATACCACCCGCAGTCCAAATCCAGCCTGCCAAGCTGTTGGATCTGACCCATGGCCTGCCCTGCCCCAGTAGCCCGCTGAACTGAGTGGCCTGCAGAGCATGGAGGGCAGGGAGTCTGGCTGAGAAACCTGCTGGGCTGCTGGCCAGGAGTTGCACAGGTAAGCATCTCCTGGCCACAGCCCATCTTTGGCACACCATCCCCTTCTCCCCTCTAACCTTTCCCCCCCTCCTACACTTCTACCCTCTCCCAGACCCTGTTCCTCAATCCTCTGTATGCCCTCCTGCACCCTTACCCCATGTAATCCAAACTCCCTGCTCTAGTATTCAGGAGTACTAGTGTGGGGACAGATTGGGGCAACGCTGAAGAATAATGAGGGAGCAATCTTGGCCTTTACAACATTCTCTGGCAGGGCATTCCCAGGTTGACTGGGAATTTTTTAGTTACCTTGGTCTTATCTTTTGTTTCAGGAAAATGGCTATAGATGCTCTGCGTTTAGCAAACACTGCTTTTGCAGTTGATATATTCAAAAAATTGTGTGAGAAGGACAAAACAGCCAATATTGTTTTTGCACCATTGTGTACTTCAACGTCTCTGGCTTTGGCATATAAAGCTACCAAAGGTGACACCGCTACCCAAATGACAAAGGTAAGCCTCTCGCTTCACTTAAAGGTGTAAAATTATGCATCTGTCCATTATGAACTATTCATTTACTTATTCTTTTTAAGGCTGAATTCCCCTGCTAGGTAATAGTATGCAGTAAAAGCTCTTCCATCATGTGAATGTGTGGGAAAGCTGGTAGCAGAATTGCACGAAACCTTGCATTTCTTTCAGAGCAGGATTTACTCCTGGAGAATTCTGGACTAAAAATTAAAAGTTCTGCAGAATGCTGCATATTTTATTTGTGAAAATAATATCATATAGTCATGTTATTTCAATTATTTTGTCAATTTATTTCAAAATACCCGTCAGCAGGTATGTTTGTAACAATACAGACACTAAGAAAGATACAGGAAATGTTTTTTGACAAATAGATTTCTTACTAGGCATATTAATACAGAACTTTGAGTACATAGGAATGGCCATGCTCAGTCAGACCATAGGTCCCTCCAGCCCAGTATCCTGTCTGCCAACAAGTGACCAATGCCAGGTGCCCCAGAGGGAATGAACAGAAGAGGCAATCATGAAGTGATCCATCCCCTGCAGGCAATTCCCAGCCCTGACAAACAGAGACTAGGGACACCATCCCTGCCCATCTTGGCTAATAGCCATTGATGAACCTAACCTCTATGAATTTATCTAGTTCTTTTTTGAACCCTGTTAAAATTTTGGCCTTTATTTAATTCATTTAAACTATAATGGAAAACTGTCTTTCCCATACCACTCCGAAGCAATGCAAAGGCTTGGGAAGGTCAAGAAAAATGGAGGAGATGAGAGAGAGAGAGAGAAGTAATTGCTGGGAATAAGCCTGGGTGAGAACATGGAATGTTGTTGGGTGTGGGTGGGAGAAGTATGGAACAGGCTTTTTGGGGATTGTGCAAGGACTGTTAGGAAGCTTCCCCCACGCAGACCCTTGCCTTTCCCATTCAGTCAGGTACATCATCCACCAGCCCCATGTATCCCTGCACCTTCCAGCCTCATGTGTCCATGCACCTCCAACTCAGACAACCCTCCTCTCCCATCACTATGTACCACTACATTTCTTTTCCCCTGCACCTCCTCCCCCTATTTTGCCCTGCATCCCCACTCAGGCACCCCATCCCCATGTGGCTCTCCTGTCCTCATGTGTCCCTGCACCACCACTCCGCCACGCCCTTCTCCATGTGTCCCCTTCCTCCTGTTCCCATTTGGTCCTGCACTCTCACTCTTATTCAGTGTTGCCCCAATGTGTCCCCACACTAGCACTCCTGAATACCAGTTTATGACCCCCCAAACAGCCTCATGAATCCTATGCTGCCAACCTCCCATATCCCCTGTCTCCTGACCTAGCTCCATGGGTAGGGTGTTGTGAGCAAGGCAATCTGTTTCTTTTATCTGCAGCTGAGGCTGCTGCTGCCCTGCAGCAGCTGCTCCCTGTTCTGGTGCCACAGTGGCCCCTGGTGGCAGAAGGAGTAATTGCAGCGCCTTTCTGGCAGAAACAAAATACAGGACTACGCAGCACTTTAAAGACTAGCAAGATGGTTTATTAGGTGATGAGCTTTCGTGGGCCAGACCCACTTCCTCAGATCAATTTGTGGAAGAAAATTGGCATAAATTAATCTGAGGAAGTGGGTTTGGCCCACGAAAGCTCATCACCTAATAAACCATCTTGCTAGTCTTTAAAGTGCTGCGTAGTCCTGTATTTTGTTTCAGATAGAACAGACTAACACGGCTGCATCTCTATCACTTTTCTGGCAGAAAGTATTTTCTGTGGAAATAATCCACAGAAAATACATTGGTACATGAATTTTCCACATTCACGGTGGCACAGAGTTTCCCCAGGAGTACCAGGATTAATTTAGTGCACAACTGAGACCACTGAACTTTTTGGAGAATGGCTTTTTTTTTCACAGATCAATTCAGCATGACTGGCGGGGTGACGCACAGGAGGCACGAGGGAGCATGTGCCCCATCCAACACCATGGGCAGGAGAGGCAAAAGACTGGCCAGTAGCTGGTGGGGCTGGAGTCCCTGGGTTTCTGGGGGAGGGGGGAATGTGGCACCTTTAGCAGCAATCTCCTTCCCCCTCACTCACTATTATTATGTAACTAGCAGGGCTGGGGCCCAGGACAACAGAAGGGTTCCTGCCCATCCACACTCACTGGAAGGGGTGGGGGAAGTGGAGTAATGTGGCCCCAGTTTGCTCTGCTCCCCTAGCTTGTTGCTTGGGGAAGGCATGGAACTGCCCCCATACTCCCTGGTGGGAAGTGGAACAAAGCGGTTAGAGGAACAGAGCAAGCTGGGGCCACATTGCTCTGTTTCCTCCACTGCTGCTCGTGAGCGTGGAGAGGCCTGACCCCTGTTGCCAGTGCTGAACAGTTCCATAGGCAATGAAAGCCACCCTCTCTTCAGAAAGTAGTCATGAGAGACTTAATGCACTAGAACAAGGCATCACCAAACCATGCCCTTTTCCCTCCCTGAACTTTAGCATTAATGTAATGTACAACAATGCAATGGAGTAGAATTTTGTAACATGAAGTTAAGGCTATACATGATGATTTTGCATCATGATATGGAGTGGCAATGACATTACACATAGTTGCCATGTCACTATGTGAGTGGAAATACTTAAAGTTATTTTTTACCCTACACAGGATTGCCATGGTTGTGTAATTATGTAAAGATGAACAGAGCAGCAAACGGAGTACTGACTTTATGGCCAATGGGGGCTGATGAGCTCCCACCATGGACCACCTGGGAGGTGGCCATGAACCACTAGTGGTCCACAGACCACACTTGGAGAACCACTGCCATAAATCAACATGCCCTACAGAACTCATAGTGGTGTCTAACCTGTGTGCTACTATATGGCAAGCTAATTTGCCTAGATTCATACCCTTCCTTGCTAGGTGAGAGAGGATCTCATAGACAAGCCCTGATACAACTCTGGAAGTATAGTTGATGTGCAAAGTGCTGAAAAGTCTTACCCTGCTGTACATCTAACAAAGACAAGTTTTTGTCTTGGCCAAGCCTCACCCATTATCTCCTCATGAAAAGCCTCCTACCTTGTTTAATCTTGGGAAATATATCTGTATGGAAATTAGAGCATATATGAAGCAGTTACTAAAGCTGCAGATGCTTTAGATATCCAATAGGTGGAGACTTTCCAGCAGTTTGTACATCTGGAAAGAAGATGATGGAGACAAAGGGTGCGTCCGCACTGCACCTGTAGCTCAAAATAAGCTATGCAATTTGACCTATGCAAATTGTGCACCTTATTTCGAGTGTGTTTTGAAATAGCTTATTTCAAAATTATAGAGTGCTATTCCAAAACATCCCTTAATCCTTGTGGAACGAGGTTTACAGGGACGTCCAAACAGTGAGGCTGTTATTTTGAAAGCTATTTCAAAATAATGGGCTTGTTTAAAAGATGTGGAATAGTCCAGTATCCCGAAACAGTGCCGTAGTGCTGTTGTCTAGACCCCCGAGATTTTCTTTTTCTCAGCAGGGGTTATACTTCCATTTGGTATTTATACAGCATCACTATAAATGTAATGCCCTATATATTAGGCAGTCAAATTTCAGGAATCATCCTGAACATTTTATTAATCATTTTGTGTGCTGTCCTATACCTGCTGGGCACTTAAATGTTACACTTGCAGGGGGATAAATAAGGAGCCAGGAGGACATAGTATACAGGCAGTCCCCTGGTTAGGTCAATCCGACTTAAGTCGGACCCCTAGTTACGAACGGGGGGGGGGGACGCAGCTAGTGTGGGGTGCCTCCCCCACTGTCGCCGCCTCCCGCAGCGCGGGGGGCGCTTCCCCCCAGCAGACCAGGGAGACACGGAGCTAGAGACCCTCCCCCAGCAGACCAGGGAGACACGGAGCTAGCGCCCCCCCCCCGCAGCAGACCAGGGAGATGCGGAGCGGCTTTTCTTGTCGCGGGGGACGCGGCCCCCCCTCCTAGCAG